GAGAAAATTCAATACTGACTCCACAACTAATGCTGTTGGTTAGTGACGGAAGAATTTCCCTTAGCTGGTCAACTACTGGTGTCCTTACCTTAATAATTGTTAGCCAATGCATGATATGGTACTGCGCCATTGATGCTTCACATTTTCGAACCCAAGAACTACAGAAGAAGAAACTGTAATTTTTGTATACGAGAGAATGAGTTGTCATATGGGGTTCTTTAGAGCAATTGGAAAATTTCGAATTCGAAGTATATACTTTAAATGTGTAGCACATACTTCTACCACTGAAGTATGTTCTCCTGTAGTAGGTTACAAATATTTGAAGAAAATGCTACGTAGTAGATACTTTTTCTAGAAGCATCAGCATGTACTACATTTTACGCATACCAACCAATATTGCAAAATATTTGAAGGAAGTACACAGTACAAATCTAAAACTACTTTGACAAAAATTGTCACAAAAGAGTAAACAATCAGAAGAGACGCTCGTGGGGGGCGCTTTTGATCTCTCTCTCTCTCTCTCTAAAAATTATTGGACATTGCTTCCCACTCGGGCGCATTTGTCCAGGCTACTCCATCAACTTGACGTCAATTTGACCGAAACTTCGTCAGGGGGGCGCAGCGGTCTTGCTTGAAGCAATGCTGCCACCCCTTTTTTGTCACACTTTTTGTAATAAAAAACACAGTATTTTTTTATTGTCGCCTCCTGCTCAGGAGACTTTTTGATTTTTTTCACATATATTTAGTAAGTCGCCTCCTTTTCGGATTTTTTTTCACATATATGGCCCTTTTACGTGGTTAGCCGAACCCCCGGCCTGGATACCAACGTGAATGAAAGGGCCCTTAACCTTTTTTTTTACTCTCACACATTTCAGTATTTATCCAATGGACTAGCACAACACAAAACAGAGCCCCACGATAGCATATGGCATCCGCGTACCTTCTTTGTAGACGGATGTTATCAGCACGTCCGTCCACTACCACGGCCACCACGAGACTCGCTTTTGATTAAGATTCCTAGAAACCCTGGTGTTGGTAACGCTTAAATTTTGTTTTGAACTTTTTGAAGGAACCACCTGTTGCTTTTAACAACACTTACGAGAGTTTTCCCAAGATGGCGCTATTCTGAATTGTTCGAGTCCCCGCTGAGTCAGTCAAATTAATTATTATCTATCATTGTCAAAAAGAATTTTCAACTTTTGGTATATGAGATTCGACCCGGAACGTTCAGAGTGTTCAGAGGTCTGGTTATTTATCGGAAAATTTGAGTTTTTTGTTTTTTCGGTTGTGTTGAAAAACTAGTTAGTGAGCCTAGTGACTCTTTTTTCTCTGGATTACTGTCCCCAACACGGTGCAGTAGACCGGGTGCGAGTAAACAAGTGACTTATTTTTATCATTTGTGAAAAGATTCTAAAATCGATATCGGTAAGTTTCCTTTTGTTTTTCACAAGAACTACTATAATACCACTATTTTTGTAGTGAAATTGAATATTGATATTAAGTATGCTCACGTAAGTATGGGGGTGATGATGACGATGAACAAGGCGAAATAGATAATATAGAGCAAAGATTGGAAAGTAGTGACACGGAGCAAGAGTTTGAGGATGGTGGAGATGATTATACACCTGTTGCTGTTACCAGAGAACCAGTATTCATAGGAAAAGACAAGATAACAATGTGGAAAAAGCATGCCTCACCAAAAAATGTAAGAACTCGTAGTTCAAAAATTGTATTACAATTGCCAGGAGTAAAACCATATGCAAAATCCAAAAAGTCTCCTCTCGATATATGGCTATGCTTGTTTGACGAAGAAATGCTGAATATCATTATGGACTGCACCAATATAAAAATAAATAGCATTTCCCAAAAATTTTCCAGAGAAAGGGATGTTAGGACTACTAATCTCATAGAAATAAAGGCGCTGATTGGAATCTTATATCTTGCAGAAGTAAGAAAAGCTAACCATATGAATCTAGGCGATCTTTGGAGAACGGATGGTAGTGGAGTAGAAGCATTTCGTCTTGGAATGAACAGAATATGATTCCAATTTCTAATGAGATGCCTTCGTTTCGATGATATACATACAAGAGAAGAGAGAGTACAAATTGATAAATTGGCTCCGATCCGAATTTTGTTTGAGAAATTCAACGATAATCAAAAAAAGTGTTACTCACATTCTGAGTACGTAACCATAGACGAAAAGCTTGAAGCGTTTAGAGGTAAATGTAACTTCAGACAATATATACCAAGCAAGCCAAATAAGTATGGCATAAAAATTTTTGTACTTTCTGATTCTTTTATGTACTATACCAGCCATATGGAAGTTTATGTGGGTAAGCAGCCAGAGGGCCCCTTTCGAACAGAGACCACTGCTAAATCAGTAGTAGAAAGGCTTTCTCAACATATCAATGGTACCAACAGAAACGTTACAACAGATAACTGTTTCACCAGTATGGAACTTGCAGAAGGTCTGAAAGCAAATAAACTAACCCTCGTAGTAACAATCCGAAATAACAAGAGGCGGCTTCCGTTGGAATTTGTACAAAATGCTGGCCGACCTAGCGGTTCATCAATGTTTGGCTTCTCTAATAATACAACACTGGTTCCATTCGTTCCAAAGAAAAGTAAAAATGTGCTACTCATTTCAACAATTCATTTTGGAGATGGCATTGATTGTCGTACGAATAAGCCAGAGATTATTATGACTTATAATCGCACCAAAGGAGGGGTAGACATGGTGGATAAATTGTGTGCTCAATACGATTGTGCTCGTGGCACCAGAAGATGGCCAATGATCCCCTTTTACAGCATGCTAAATGTAACTGGTATAAATGCGTTCGTTGTTTATAATGGAAACCATCCCGATTCAAAAACACTCAGAAAGGAATTTCTTCTGAATCTTTCCATGGCCCTCCTCTACGACTATCAAAAAGAAAGAGCAGTTTCTGCCAATTTGCCAAGGACCATGAGAAGCCGATTATAAGAAGTTTGTGGTTTACCAGCTGCAGCCGAAGCTAAAGTAAGAACCCCGGAACCGTGGGCCGCTGTGCTGACTGTAATTGGAAGAAAAACCAAATACCTCTGTCATAACTGTTCAAAATATTTGTGTTTAGAACATATTAGACCAATGTGTAATGTATGTTATGAAAATTTAGGTTGATTTTTTCTTTCAAGTACAGTGAAACTTTTCACTTCTGTTTTTGGGCTTAATCTATTCCTTTTGTAAAAAAATCTTTGAAGTGTCTTTTATTCTGCCCCAAAATCATATNAAGTATTCAATGAAGAAGAGGTTCTCCCATTTAAATAAATAATAAAAAAAAAACCTGTTCTCGCCGTCACCATGCAAGAAGTTCCTCATAATTCCATATGGATCATCTCCCAAAACATTTGAATCAAGACAAACATTAAAAAGGGCGGAGTCTATAAATTTTAAATTTTGGTCATTGCCGTTTTCTGCTAGTTCATGACGTACGCTGGCCCACTTATTTCGTTCTAATGTTGTCAAAATTCCTATAGGAAACTCGCATTTTGGAATGTCATCCTGTAAAATTAACTTAAGTCTTGCAAGAATTTGTTCAGCAGGTAAAATGTTATTTGTATCCGTCAATACTCTGAATGCATAAATGTGGCCCTTATATTGGACAGTTATGTGCTTACCGGCAGGATCATTGGTGAGTCTGTCTTTATCAATCTCTGGTACTCTTGTCGAATTAAAAAGGCTAGAATACTGGCTCATGTCCAAAGGATAAGCTTGCAACAAGTAAGCACCATACCAAGAAATATTTTGAGGTAAGACACTACAAATGTTTTCAAATTTTTTTGTGTTGCTTTTCTTTGCATTGAGATGATAGACTTCAGGTTCCAAAATTCCTGATTCTAGGGATCTGTAGAATCTAACAGAACTTACTATTAAATTTGTAGCTCTCAAAAGTTGGTTGTTATACTCTTGCCTTTCATCCCTATGCATCACTAAAACTGGATTATAATTTATCGGAATAGGTTTCCGATCCCTCAAATAACTGTCAAACCAAAATTCCGATATATAACTTGTGTGTTTATTTACTTTATCATAGTTCACGAGCATATCTTGCAAAAATTTTCCTGATGTATTTTTGAAGTAGTTAACATTGCTTTCTGTTTTACGATATGCTTCATCGATTAACAGGGGTCGCTGGGCAGCTAGATATCTATCACAAGTCCAGTCTAGCTTTGGAATTGGTAAGCGAGGTAATGATTGTTGGAAATGCATTGTGGGGATCTTACTTCTCTGGATGAATTGATAGGTGTCATACTCTGTAGCAAGTTTTCTCTTCAATTGTTTATAAACGACCTCAACTGGATTTGTATGCCCCAATGATTGAAGTTTGTACCTGAATAATTCCATTTTGTTTTTCTTTTCTACAAAAGAGAAGAATACACATCTATCACTGCACTATTCGAAGCATTTTTCCACTTATTAGATGACTGAAAACCAAAGATAATATATATTTTTAAACTTGGTTAATACTAGGTGGTATGCATAAAGTGAAATACTTGCTAATACTTCAAGTATCTACTTCGCAAGTGAATTAACTACTACACCTAGAACGTTTCACTACGCTTTGGTGATATTTACTACTATTTATAATGCACATAGCAGAATGTACTCTGCCGCAGAAGTATCTACTTTAAATTTGAAGCATGTGATTTGCTTAGTAGTATTCACTTCAGTTTAGGTGAAGTTGCTGTTTAGGCAACTTCAAACGACACAAGATTGAGATATAAAGGTGAAATAATGGCGGCTCTAATGAATTTGGGTCCTAGAAAGATTAATAAACAAAGCCGAATATGAAACGATGATGTATATCGTAAATTATTCAGGTAGGTACATATCACCCTTGTGCCCATATAACTAGCAAACTACTTGCACAATATTTTTCTTGAGTTTCAACGGGGGAAAACATTGAATTGCTTGCGAATTATTCCCTAACTTCACTGTAGAAACAAGGAGTGGTGCCTTGTCACCTGTTCAGCAGATGGAAATGTTTATGAGATCCTCAGGTAGGAATTAAATTGAAATCAAATTGGGAATGATCAGAATAGTACTCATCTTTATCTTTTGATTTTCATATTGATATTGATGTACATCAAGTTAGCATATCCACAGGTATCCCTTTAATACACATGGTGATACAATCAAAAAGAAATAACTGGATTGAATTTTCAAGTAGATGAATTTCTACGTGAGACTATAAATGAATGAGCAGATATAAAGCAAATACCTGGTGTATTAGATGCTAAAGACTGTATCCACATAGGAATAACGAAACCGTCTGTTTACTGTTTCATGTAATCAGACTATGTTCAATCAACGATCAAGCTACTTGTGACGTCAAAGGTTTACTATAAAGCTCAATACACGATAGTCACATCTGGCGAAACTTGGCAATCTGTAGTATTATATATAATGTAGGGACACCAATAGTTGACCATGCTAACTAGTAGTTGACCATTAAGAGAAAGAGCTTTAAAATAAGGAATATTTTGTGTTGTTACTATTGCAAATCTGCTTATCTGATGAGACATGTTATCAACTCACAACTTATTAGCCTATCAGTTACTTAATGGTGGGCAGTGAAACTTGTGCTCTCACAGATTCTTCTAATTCGTGCCCTCTGGTCATCTCTTTCGCTCAGAGATTGGCTTCAGTTTTTGTGTAAGTAACCTAGAGCTGAAAAGTCCCGGGCTTAAGAAAACGCGTTTTTTTGTTCAAAATTGTCTTTATTCATCAACGTAATCCCCATTAAGAGCCACACAATCATTCCAGCGCCGCTCTAACATTTCAATACCACTTTTGTAGAACGATTAATTTTTTTCCCCAAATTAGGCCTCAGGTTTCAGCAATAACCTCTTCATTCGAGCGAAATTTTTTACATGAGAGCATTTATTGAGGTCTGCGAACAGCCAGTAGTCGCTGGGAGCCAAATCTGGCGAATACGGTGGATGTGGGAGCAATTCGAAGTTCAATTCATGTAGTTTTGCCATTGTTTTGATCGACTTGTAACAGGGTGCGTTGTCTTTGACGAAACAAATTTTTTTGATTTGCTATATGCGGTTGTTTTTTTTTTAATTTCGGCAACGCTCCAATAACGCTATATAATATTTACTGTTGATGGTATTTTCCTTCTCAAGATAGTCGATGAATTTTACACCACGCACATCCCAAAATACCGATGCCATAACCTTTCCAGCCGATTATTGTACATTCGGGCACTTTGGACGAGGTTCACCAGATGCTCTCCACTCAAATGACCATCGTTTTGATCCCGGAGTGAAGTAATGGATCCATGTTTCATCCATTGTCACATATCGACGCAAAAATTGAGATTTGTTGTGTTCAAACATGGCCAAACACTGCTCAGAATCATCAAGACGTTCTTTTTTTTGTCAACAGTGAGCTCACACGGCACTCACTTTGAACAGAGCTTTCTCATAGTCAAATGCTAATGCAATATGAAGCCAACGCGTTCCTTTGACATCTTTAGAATGTCAGCTAACTCACACAAGTTCACTTTTCTATCAGTCAAAACCATTTTGTGGATTTTTTCATGTTTTCTGGTGGTACTGTCTCGTTTGGACGTCCACTACGTTCTGCTTCATCAGTGTCTCTACGACAACGTTTGAAGTCAGTAAACCAACGTTTAATTGTTGTTTCTGATGGAGCAGAGTCCGTATAACACTTTTCAAGCCATTGCTTCGCTTAAACGGTATTTTTTCCCATCAAGAAGCAGTGTAAAATTGAAACACGAAATTGTTTTTGATCCATTGTTTTGGAAATAACAAAAGTAGTGTCACTCTTAGCACAGTAACTCAAAAACTTATAAGTAGAATATCATAAAATTTCAACAGCGCCATCTGTGTGTTAGACCTGAGACTTTTCAGTCCATATATTACTTCTGATAGGAGACTGGTCAACGGAAGAGCTGGTTAACGAAAAAACAAGATTTTTAACATACTTGAAGTGTTACGTTCATAAATGAATTGTTCATCTTCAGACGAGAATCTCTCAAACCAATCTGCCGAGGAATTTTCGTCAGTTCTGTATAACACACCCTTACTATTCATCTACCTCGTTACCTTTGGATTCGTAAACGGCTTTCAACGATTGTTTGGTTTGAATAAGAATCTAATGAGCAGTAAATTTCATATTACGAGATGCACTTGACGCGAGATTGTTATCTGGTCTCCCATTG